TGTCTCAGTGTGTCAGTAAATTTCAATTCAAGGTGCTTTATTGGCATGACAAATGAGTAAAATCAGTGTTGCCAAAGCAAAACAAATACAATTAACATACAACAAAACATCTACAGACATTTATAATAAAGACACATCATAAGATATTTACATGTAAACATATGGAGCATTCCTTCTGTCAGATGAGACGTTAAACCAAAGTCCCGATTCTCAGTGGTCATTAAAGATCCCCGGGCATTCCTCCAGAAGAATAGGGAGTTATCCTGGTGTCCGGGCCAAATTTCCCCCTTCGGCCTTTACCGTGACCCCTGAATTGTCCCCATGTATGATTGGCTTGCACTTGCCCTGCGATGGACTGGTGTCCTGCCCAGGCTGTACCCTGCCTTGCGCTTGTTGCTTGCCAGCTAGGCTCCGGCTCCCCACAACACCGTATGGTATTAAGCAGTTTGGCAAATGACATGACATATAGAGCTTTACCGGGAAAACACTGTGAGAGTCACCGTGCCTCTCTGTAACCAGGGCTGCCTGGACCCAGCTGGTCACCCTGCTGACCTGCACTGGCTCTGTCCTTGAGGTCACACGGTGCAGGTGGTGCTGAAGAACCACGGTCAGATTCACTCACTGGCTGTGGGCACACACCAGCCCTGGGCTCTCTGGGAGGGCTCAGACTGGGTGTCCTGTGAGTTTCAGGGCCACTGCAGACAGCACTTCTTTACACAAAGGGTAGTGGAAGCGTGAAACAAGCTGCCCTGTCATATTGTGGAAGCCAATACCCTGTCTTCTTCCAAGACACAGCTGGATGATGTTGTCTAAATCAGAGACAAAGCAGATAGACAGACCACAAATAAGAGATGACAGTACTGTCATGCTTCTGCACTCAGAGGCTGCTCTGCAAACATGTGTCCTCACCTGGAAACAGTTGCTGGGCACACCCACCCCATCCTGGTTACATCACCCTTGGAACTGGAAGATCAAGACACTCCTTTCTTACTCTTTCCTGGATACAGTACCTGGATCCAGGGCGGATGCCTTCTCGTAGTCTTGGAAGCTATTCCTGGATTCCTCCTGGTGTTGTGCTGTGCTGGCTGATTTCCTGTCTCTGTGCGTGTCTGCGTCGGTCAGCCTCTGTCTGCCTTGGTGAGGACCTGCCTCTCGGGACAGATTAACACACACCTTGCAGAGTGTACAAGCTCGTCTTCCGTCTCCAAATTCCAAAACTGTAACTCAGGGGTTATCAGAGGGTAAGATCCATCCATCCATTTTACTCAAGAGTTACTTAGAGTACAACATACTGTATTACCTCATAATAGTACTGAGGACCAGTACTGAGTGACCTGTAGCAGGACAGCTGGTCTCAGGACAGTGACCTGTAGCAGGACAGCTGGTCTCAGGACAGTGACCAGTA